AAAAACAGGTAGTGACCTGGATTTGGCCCATAGGCCCCTGATAGAGTATATTGTAATGAAAAAAGTTATATCGGTTTTTCCCTTCATTGATCTTCATTAATATGCTGTCCACCATACTCCCTCTCTTGTTCCTAGATTTCCTCATAGGGGATACTTTCTTAATGTATTATACTACTCTATACTTTCCTATACTGTTTCCTCTTTCTCTATACTATTTCTTTTGAATAAGCTCTATTATCCATTCTCAGGTATCATTTGACCAAGTCTCAGTGATACCTACAAGATAGATTTGTTTGCTTATAGAAAAATCTCTAGGGCCCCTTCCACTTTGCCTAGCATTGGATATTTGTGTTTTGGTATTTGAGGCCATTAGTTTTTACTACTGTCTCCTTTTTTCTATTTTGTATGCTGTGAATTTCTTTCTTCCTTCTTTATGACAGTTACTCTACATATGGTATCTTATTTGATGTCCATATAAAGACAATCTTCTCAGCCTTACTGCTAATTTTTTTTTTTAGTTAAAAGTTATTTTGATTAACTTAGCAAAGATAGAGCTAGGAACTTACTGGACCTTCATTAATAGAATGAAACCCTGAGGAAGGAAACTCCATTTACCAACACAAATTGTCAACTTCTCTGATAATCATATTCTTTGAGAGTTGCTTAGAGTCCTGAGAGATTAATTGACTTTCCCATAGTCATGGAGACAATACATATCAGAAAAAGGATTTGTGTCCAGATCTTCCTTACATCAAGGCTGGCTCTCTATGCACTGTTTTATGCTGCCTATTTTAGATTTGTAAGACATCTAGAAAATAGATCTTTACCAGTCTTGATTAAATTCATTCCATCACTGGTCTAGAATCAAACCAAATACTTCTCTGTTTCACCAACCAACCATTTGCCAATCCATTTTTACCAATTTACTTTACCTACCAGTTAGTTCTACTTACCTTTTTTTTTCTTTACTATTCCTTGCCACCTATCTCCTTCCTTAAGTCCTTCTCTTCAGGTCTTTGCTCCTTTATCTTTCTTCATCCTCTTCTCATGAAAGTTAGAATTAGTCCCCAGATCTGGCAATTGCTCTCCTTCATACTATCCTCAATTTCTTCTCCCTGAATCAAAATTTTTGCCTTGTTCAAAAGTTTATACCACTCCAAATCACCCACACAATTGCCCTCTTTTTATGCAGCTCAAATCTCTTGTCTCCTTCTTCCCCTACAATCTTCTTCCACAGGAACCAGAAGATGAATAACTATACATAAGCATTTTTCTCTTTACCCCACATATTTTTGTTAAAAACTCTTTTGATTAATTTTTCAACATTCTCAGAAAATATATTCTTTCTAGGCAAGTTATCATGTGTGCCATATCTTTGGCTAGGGGTATATATTAAACCTTGGTCTAAAGTTCAAATTTCATTCTCAAAGAGAGACATCCTGTCTTCTGTTCCATGAAAAATGCCAGATCAGTTCATATCTCCCTAGCCTATGTATGGCACTATATTCATCGATAGATAGTGTAGTCTACTTATCCAATTCTGTCTTCTTATGCTTCTTCCTAAGATACTCTGTTCCCTGTTTTTTAATCATATAAAACTCTAAGACAGTTGTAACCTCAGAGATAACTTTATTCAATCTTTACTGGATATCAACATTAATCAAGACATTAGACAAGGAGGCTCACCAAGAGTGTTTCTAGTTTCTATGAAAAAGCTTGTACAAAATCCCAATAAAGGAGAGATTGTTGATGATGAGATATTGCAGCTGTTTCTCTTTGTGGATGACATTGCGGTGATTGCATCAATTCCAGATTGTGATAGACTAATTATAAGAGAGTCACTCAAAATAGATTGATCTAGTTATCTATGTTTCTCATACTCTTATCCACTTATCTTTCTGGACATAGCAATCCAGTGATCAAATCAAAGGACATATTAATCAATTACCTTATGGCTCCATCACCATCTTTATACTGACTTTACAATCAAAAGCATTCTTGCCTGGCCACCCTGCTATAAGTATGTTCTTCCTCTGTAGAATACGGACTTCGTGAAGGCCGGAGGGAAGACCTTGCTTTTTGTTCTTATATCCCAAGTATTTTGCATAGTGCCTGACACATACGAGTGATTTCTCACTCATTCAGATATTTTGATTGAGATAGATGTTAAAATGGAACAAAGCATAAATTGATAATAGAAAATACAAGATAACTTTTGGAGTCTAGGATTATTAGAATTATAGATAATAAATAATAGATTATTTTCCTAGTATCAGAAAATGAAGAAGAGAGTAAGAGATAAGAATTAGAAAGATGATAGAAACCAAAGTGAATTGATGGTGGTCTTTTCAATCATGAAAATAATCATTACCGAAAGAAAAAAATAGCAACTACACCTACGATTTCAATGATATAGACACCTTCTTCTCTCTTTTTCTGCAGCTGATAGTATTTGGGGCCTAGAACAGTAAGGGGTTAAGTGACTTGCCCAGGGCTCACACAGCTAGTAAATGTTCAAGCCAAGATGTGAATCCAGATCTTCTTGACTCTGAAGTCAGTTCTTTATTCATTGAACCACACTGCCTCTCTCTCAAAAAATGTATATCTGGCGTATTTATAGACAAAAAAAGCCTACTTGAAAGTTTGTTACTGTTATCTTTTCCATTATTTGTGACTAATTTAGTAAATCACCATTAATTTGATGCTTGTTGAAATACAGTGGCTAGGAAGAAAAAAAAATGTCAGGAACCAGGGTGGGCTGTGAAAGAACCATTAGCCCTGTTACCTTGACCCATTCATTATACCGTAGGAGGTATCCATGATGGAGGGAATGGTTTTAGTGTCTGTATGTCAGCTGCTCTGCTTTGAAAAAGGGTTAAATATTTTCCATCTTTTTCTCCTGCTATTTCTTCTGCCTCTGCCTCTCAAAAGTTATTTCCCATTCTGTTTATAACACTCCAATCCTACAGTGTTCAATTGGACCCCCCGTACACAAACATTTCTGATTATTTTTAGCGTTTGAAAGCTTTGCTGCAAAGGGAAATCTCAATTCCATTCAAGAAATATTTATAGAGCATGTACAATATGAAAGCCCCTATGCTTGACAGTGTTGAGAGAGGTACAGAGGTAAGTGAAATATATTCTTTACCCTCAAAGTGCTTACAGTCTAGCAGGGGCAGGAGAGGTCTTTAGGAGAGATATACACAAATAAACACTATACAAAGTGTGGTATGGAGGTAGATAAAAGGTAGTGCTATTTGAGTTCAAGTAAGTAGAGACATAAACATGGTTATATACCACATATTTCATATCTCTACTTTATAATAATTTGCAGCCAACATCACATAGTTTAATGTTTGGAAAATATTACCACCTTTGGTGATAATGTTCACAGTTTCATTGTCATTTGTAAACTTTCTGAGTTTCTATCTTTTCTTTCATATATTTATATTTTCCTGTCATTCCAGAATTTCTTTTGATTTATTATTTCCTGTATCTGTATTGGATTCAGATGATATGAGCTTATCCTTAACACAGTCAAATAAAACTTCTAGAAAGCTTCTTTTATTAGGATGAGTTGAGTTTTTATATCTATATCCTGCTTTGGGTTTTGTTGAATACATATCATTGTATATATAAAGAATGGTATTGATGGCCCTTTCGAGATTCATTGTTTTATAGGTCATCTTTATGTCTGATAGAGAGATGCCTTTCAGCTCTTTTGGATTCCAGGAATGTGGACCATAAATAAACCTTTTCAAAAAGAAGAGTTGTGATATCAGGTCTCTAGTAGTTAATTTTATCTATGCTGACAAACTTGTTTAGTATATTTTCCCTTGTGGAACTGATTCTTTGTACCCTATTTTTGAAAAAAAAAACACCTCTGTATTTATGAATAAACAAATAAATGTAAAAGTCTTGGCCTTAGAGTTAAACATGACAGAAGCATAAGGATTTTAACTCTAGAAAGAGTTTAAATTAATTGAGTCATAAATTTTCCTCTAGATTTCATAATTTGACCTGCATAATTCATATTTCTGTTTATATTTAGAATTTCATTTCTCTAGGGAGTTATGCTTGCTAACTTTCTTTTAGAAGAAATAATTTTTGAGCAGCCTAAAAAACCCTGAACCTTTTTCATTCTATTGTAATATTAATAATCTTTAAAAAAAAAACCGACAACAACTAACTCCTAGTGAACTGTGTATATTTCTGGGAAGTAAGCTTTTTAGTCTATTTTAGAATTGCAGCACAGGAAAAGAATCAATCATCAAGCATTTATTAAGCACCTACTATGTGCCAGGAAATCTGCTAGATGCTGGGGATATAAAGACAAAAATGAGAAAGTCATTGCCCTCAATGAGTTTACCATTTCATCAAGAATGCAAAATAGACTCAAATTTTCTTTTCCTCCTAACAGAACAGAATGAAAGGCCTCCTATAGGACCCTTCAGTACTTACGCTATCAGACAGAATCAGCTCAGATCATACAGGATGAGTCATCCAACCCCAGTAAATTTTCAGCGGAATGGAGCAACACTGGAGTCTGTACTGAAGTCCAGAAACACTAGAACTGAATATAGCTTCTCTAATTCTTATCCTCATAGGCTCCAAGGCTTTAGTCCTTAGATATTTTGGATCCAGTAACTAAAAGAAATCCCTTGGTGTATAATTGCCAAGGTAGAAATGTATGGCTTTAAAATAATTTCTTCATCCTTAAATTCGGGGTAATTTTGCCGAGAGGTGTTCTGTTGCCAAATGCCTACAGAGCTCTAAATGACCAGCCAGTCTGATCAAATCTGTCAAATAAATGGTGAATTTGAAGCAATTTTTTGATGTCGTGTAGAGCTGTACAGAAATTATTTGAATGAATTTTACAAAATTATTTTCAAATGCTCATGCTTTCTCTATCTTTAAGAAGACTTCAACAATTCCCTGAAGATGCCAAATACTATTTCTTATACAAGACTGGTTTAATGTGACAATTTTGAACTAATCAGGTCCAAGAAATAGTGTAGAGGGAAAAGACTGTCTCCTTTATTTTTTTCACCAATGTTACTTATTGGATGACTGGGCTATCAGTCACCATCAAGCCAGCCAAACAGATTTTCAGTTTGTTAATATAGACTAGAGTGCTGGCTGACTGGAAACTTAGACAGCCAGTGTTAGAGATGCAGGATTATTGGTGGATATTGGGGTGATGAATGAACCCATGAATGACCAAGGCAACAGTCTCAGAATGCAAAGGACTAGCAGCTTATCTATGTACTGACATGTACTAATTGAATGCTCAGAGTCTCCATTGCTCCTTTTAAGTGGAAGGAGGAAATTAAACCTGGGGTCTGGCCTTCCCATAATATTGCAGTGTCTCCAAATGTCCCTTTCACACAGGTAATACCTGCTTTAGTGAGACAATAGTGGTACAGCATCTTGAGATACTAACAAAGAGGCACTTTCACATTGCTGCTATTATTATGATAGAGGGCATGGTGCTTTGCTTATCACCTTTAAAAATTCCACCTTACACTTAGGGGTCAGATTGTCAGCAGAAATACTTCTATCCACAGGAAATAAAATCACTCAGAATATAGGTAATCATCTTTAGACTCAGTTTAAACAAGCAGTTTGAGACCATAAACCTTATTTACACTTAATGGAACTGTGCCTACCTGGAAAATAGGATAATATATTTAGGGAGAGGAAAGTGAATAAAAATCTAGTGTAAAGCCAAACAGACCTTTGAATTTTATTATTTATCACCAAATATGCATAATTCAGATAAATTTATAACAATCTTTAAAAGCATAATATGTTAAGCCCTGTCATTTAAATAATAAAAGGGATTTTTTTCTCCCAGATTCTTACAACTTTTGATAATTTTTGCTGTGATGGACAGTACATATTGGCTGGTATTTCCATCTGTTTGACAGAGATGAGAAGAACATTAACAGATCATAACCTTTGACTATCTTGTTAAAAATAGAATTAGTGATGGATAAAATTTCTAAATTACCAGGTCAGACCTCTGTTATTTCCATTATGGTAAGGCAGCTGTGATATGCTATTTGGCCAATCTTTTCATACATTTCTCTGCAGGTAACATGTTAGGAATGAGAATAATGGTGAGCCACTTTGATACATTCTGTTCTGTTTTTCTCTTAAAGATGCTAGCGAAATGACTTCTGTACTTGTGACATTGTGCTTTATGGGCATCAGCTCACTAGAAATTTGCAATATATTCTCTTGCATTGGTAATGATTTTGGAAACCAGAGAGATTGGCATGAAGAGCTGTCATAATTCCAAACACTTGCTAAATGTCTTTCTAGGAGGTCTCTGTACCAACAAGAGGTTATTGTAAATGTATTTATCTATTGGCACATATAAAGCTAGATTTGTGCAGGGCTAGCAAAAGGGACTAGATCTATGATTTAATTGATATTGGGAATTCCTGAATGAGGACCCTGCCTCTGCTAATGCTGGTCAGCTCCTTCTCTGCAGCTTATTGTCTTAAAGAGTTAGAGCAATGGGAGGTAAAGTGACTTGGCACACATATATCCCATGGCTAGTATGTGACAGAGATGGGATCTAAGCCTATATCTTACTGACTCTGAAGACAATCTTCTATCAACTACACCACTCCCATAACTTCACAGCCTCTCACATGTTGTACAGATACAGTAATAATTTGCATTTGTGTGGCATTTCCTGTTTTCCCTTTCAAGTGGATTTGCACATTGCATCATTAGCAACACCACTCTATGAGTTATTATAGAAACAACTCGGAAATAGATACATTAATATTCCTCTTTTACAGAGGAAGGAAATGAGGAACATGATGATTTTAGGGAACTTTCCCCAGGTTGCCTGGGCTAATTGGTAAAGTATTTGAAACTAGATCTCAGGTGTTGTGTTTCCTGACTGGGCACTTTTTCAAATGAAGCATGTTCTTTTTACCTCAGTAAAAACACTTTATCCCTAAGATAGGCTATTTGAATTTAATTTCCCAGTTTGCTGATCATTTAATATGAATTTACATACACAGTTTTGGCCAGGTTCTTAATGCATCTTATTTAGACATGTTGATTTTTCTCTCTAAACATTGTGTTACTCTATCTTTTTATCTGTGCTTCTATATTACAAGATCTAGTAATTGTGTTAACAACAAACAAAAAGAAATGAGTCAGATTTAAAGGTTAAGCATACTTAATGATGGAAACACAAATCTTGGAATATTTTTCAAGAAGGATTATGTGTAAGTTACTGCAACCAAGGGGCACTAAAATTGATACATTGACTACTAACATACCAAACGAGTATAGCAATTACAGTTCTATTTAGTAATAGCACACCAGTGCCCAAGTAGGAGCTCAGTACTCTAAATTAAATTGATGTGCACTCGTAGTGCTCATATTTGTGGCATCCTCTGCTAAAACAAATTACAAATGAAAGGCTTTGGATTGTTTTTCATTCCAAGTGAATAAGACCTAAAAGTAAGAATTATCCCCAAATAAATGAGGGATCTAAGAAATCTGTTTTTAAATCGCATAAAAGTCAATTCTTTTTCTACTGTTCATATGGGATATATGTCTTTCTCTCTTATGGATGACACAGATGGATGTTAATTACTTCACCATCATGACCAATTCATCTACAGATTTATACAATATCAAATATAATGCTGTACTTTCTTATGGTCTCTGGCTATTGAAGCTCTTATATTTTTCTATTCCTTAGTTTCCTAAATATTTGCTCAGGATTTTTCTCTCAGTGGATATGCAAAAGATTCATTATGTTTCCAACCTTGTTTTTTTAAATAATTTTTAATAATTAAAAACTTTTAACACCTCCAAAAAATTTCTAGTATTCCTTTCCCTTCCTAGAAAGCTATCCTACATAATAAAACAAAAGTATTTTTAAAAATCTACAAAATGTATTAATATATCAAAAAGTCTGAAAATGTTTAATGTTTCCCACCCATGGGTCTCCCACCTCTGCAAAGAGGAGGTGAGATGTCATCTCATATCTATTCTTGGGAGACATTTTTTTTTGTAATTTGTAATTTTGTGACATTCACTATTGATTGTTTTGTGGTTGTTCTTTCCATTTAAGTTGTTTTGGTTATTGTGTATATTATTTTCTTGGCCCTGCTTTCTTCACTTGCATTGTATCATATAAATTGCCCCATGCTTCTCTGTATTCATCTTATGTATCATTTCTTACATCACAGTAATATTCCATTACATTCATGCACCACAATTTGATTAGCCATTCTCCAATTAATGGACATTTACTTTGTCATTTTTCCTACTTTGACCTTCTCCATTAAAAAGAAAATGTAAGAATTGTCATGGTATGGTTATTAACCTTCTCTGTTTCACCTTCAACCCCCAACTCCCAGCTACCTGCAGCAAGAATCATTGATCCCTCAAGCCTAGGGCTCTTGCTGTCCTTAAATAAAACAATGTATATTGGACCCTTTTGCCAAGGTTTCTGAATCCTATGAAGTTCAAAGAACATTTCTATAGGACACATCTCATTAGGAAGAATTTGAGGAACTACCCAAGTTGTTGAGTCATATTAGAACTTTATTTTATCAAATAAAATGGATCACTAAGAAATGGATATTTCTAAATATATATTTTTCATTGTTCTGAGTTGGGAGGGTAGATAGTGTGTGCTCTCCTAGTTTTAAAATATTTTTCATTGAAGTGTTTTATCTTTGTGTGACAGCCATCTAGTTCTCTTGGCATTGTCGTAATTAGAGTATGTAAGTAGTTTTGGGAGCAGCTAGATGGTACAGTGTATAGACTGCTGGGCTGAGAGTCAGGAAGACCTGAGTTCAAATCCAGTCTCAGAAACTTCTTATGTAACTTTGGGCAAGTAATTTAATTTCTTTTTGCCATTGGAGAAGGAAATGGCAAACCACTCCAGTATCTTTGCCAAGAAAATCCCATAAGCAGAGGTCTACAGAGTCAAGAAGGGTCAGATTATGACTGAAAACAACTGAGCAACAACAACAACAATTTAGGTAGTTCACTGATTACAACTTGCTATTGTCACTTGACTGGCCTTTTGTCTAAATATACATTTTTCTGCTGAAACTTTTAATACCATTTATCTTGCATGAGTTTTCATTGGCAAAATACTACAGGCTGCCCAGGACCATCATTTACCTCTCCATTACTAGTTAACTAATAATTTTCAACTTTAATTTCTGTGATTAAAAAGGGTTTAGGTATGGTTCTAGCAAAAGACTCTATCTGCTTTGTGAGGACTGGCCTAAATAAATAAGGAAAGGTTCATTTTCAGTAGGTTGGCCACTTGGTGACAATTTCTTTGGTCATGGCAACCCATGAAACAAAGAAAAAGACAAGATAGTCTTTAACCTACGTAGTGGAATTTGGGGGAGGAGAGGAACGAGAAGCTCAGTGTTACTAGTCCGGGTTCTTGAAGTTGGGATTGGATAATAGCAGTTAGGAGTCAAGAGAGCGAATCTTTATCTGGCCAGTCACATAGATAGCATGGTAGAGGGCATCTACAATGATACTGGCATAAGAGGTTCCATATATGCATAATTTTAGGGCAGCATTCATCAGCTAAACATTATTCAGTGTATCATTGTGTGAAACAAAAGAAAAATGGTTATTTATTAAACACAGGTGGTTATACAAAAAAGAATTGAAGAAAAATATATGTTAGTTACAGAAGATATATAAGGGAGTTACTGTATTAATGTAGCTGTTCTCAATAAATCAAAGAAATTTTATTACCAGACCAGATGGGGAAGAGAATTTTCCCAGGACTTTGTAATCCTCCACCTTCATCAACTAAGTCTTTTTGTACCAATAAAAGAAGAAAAAAGACATTGACTGCTGCAGCTGTCTTGTAGTTCACTAGGGGTCATTTACAGAAAAGTGGCCGATATAGAACAAGATGGTGGCTTCATGCCTTAAAGGAGGAGGAGAGCAGCGTCTATATATTATACTAATATGTCAAGGAAGTTCATGGTACAATTATAGTGGGGTTGGTGAGGGATATTAAGGCGAGGATAGCAAGAAGATTCACTGAAAACTGTCAACCTCAGTATACTTGCTGAAGTCAGTCTCTGGGGGCCAACCAGGAAAGCTAATTTTTTCCAGTTCTCCAATACCTCCATAAAACATTCATTATTCTTAATTTTGGCTCATTTTTTAGAAAAAGAAATTTCCATTTCATTGAATATTTTATTTTCTTATGTACCTATGCAAAATAACATTTTTTTTGTAAATAATATTTTATTTTTTCCAATTACATATAAAGATAGTTTTCAACATTCGTTTTTATAAAATTTTGAGTAAAATAATTATTTTAAATGATACAGGTTAACACATTTTCATGAATAAGCAAAGCAATCAATCAATAAGCAGTTATTAAGTATCTAAATATGTGCTAGGCACTACAGATATAAATATGAAAGATGAAATAATCCCTTCTCTCAAGGGCCTTAAATTCTAAATGAGGAGATAAATACTTACAAAGTAGTTAAGACATATATGGTAGTTTGGAAGGGAGGTCTGTAGCAGTTGGGAGAATCGGAAAAGGCTTCATGTGGTGCTTGAGCTGCATCTTGAAAGAATAGAGGGTCGCTAGGAGGTAGACGTGAGGAAGGAATGCATTTCAGGCATGCGGATGGCCATTCCAAAAGCACAGAGAGGAGATAGACTGTTGTGTGTGAGGAATAGAGATTGTTGCTGTTTCTCTTGAAAACTAAGATTGTTACTAATTAAACTAATTAACTTTTAATTGCATTTATTGCTATTCAGGAGGTAACAAGCAGAAGCCATATCGATGTTTCAAGTAGCCACCAAGAAGTTGAAGGATATGAACAAGTGACCTCTAAAACACCTCAAATTGAGGTAAGAATTTAAGATAATGATACTCAAAGCTCCTTTGAGATTCTGCTTTATCATTTAACATTTGGTTTTATTATCATTTACTCCACTCGGGGCAATCATATCTGGAAATATTAGTAACTATCTCCCTACATTGATACAGGCAAATACTGGAGGAAAAACATGCCCAGAGACATCGATGTTATTTCATTATGAAGATTTGTCTGGTTTCGGTTTAAAGCAGTTTCATTTCACAAAACCTGTTCTTATGCAAAGCATTGTACTATGTACTGTGTTTAAAAGCAAAAAATGCAAAACAATACTACTTATTACGGGCGTATACACGTGCGTATATACAACATGTATAAATAAAGTGACTTTAGGAGGCAGAGAATACTATCAGCTCAGGGGGAAAAGAAAGGCTTCATATAGGTAGTGGCAGCAGAGCTGAGGTAAGAAGGGCATTCCTGGCATGACAGTTAGCTTGAATAAAATAACAGAAACAGAAGATAGCTAGGAGACCAATGTGACTGGACTGCAGAGAGTATGTGAAGTTGAGTAATAGGTAAAAAAAAAATTGTAAAAATAGGTAGGAGTCAAAAATATGGAGAGCTTTGAAAGATCAGCTAATGAGTTTATATTATATCCTAGAGGCAAGAAAGAACAACTGAAGACTTTGGGGTAAGAGAGTAAAATGGTCAGATATGGACTTTAGAAAGTTTATTTTGACAATTGTGTGGGGCAGATGAAGTGGAGACTCTTTTATTTTACATGAGAGAGGTAATGAGAATCTGAGCTAGGATGATGACCATATCAGTGTAGAGAATGGGACAACTGTCAGAGAATTGTGAAGGAGTAATTGACAAAGTTTAGCAATTCTTTGGATGTGGGGAAAAGTCAAAGATAGACCTGGGATTTGGGCTCACATAACAAAGCTCTGTATCAGGACTCATGAGTAATAAGGATAAAGTGTTAAAGGTTTGATTGCATCTCTAAGTGTACTTTGAAATATTGGATGAAAATTACAAGCACAGGCCTCTCAACATATTTCTACATATCTACATACATTTCAACAACATTTAAATTTATTTCTTAAACATAGGTCTCTCATCTTGAAAAACACACCCAAGAAATAAACCAGGCTTCTCATTCCAGCCAGTATGTTCAAGAAACAGGTAATAACTTGCTTTCTATTTTACTTTGATTATACTATCACCTCCTTCTCCAAATGTATATTTCACTTGCATATTGCCAGTATAATAATATCCATTGCTATCAAACTATATAACTGCATACTAAGAAACTTCTGTATGAGTCATAGTCTTGAAGGTACTAAGGTTGTATGGTGTATATAGACACACATGCACACATATATGTATATGTAACATACATATACATACATAATTATGTTTTGTAAGTGTTGCAGGATGTTTATATAATAGCACATCAACTAGCCCTTTTTAATAGTGACCAGAGCTAATAATAACAATAACAATGATAAATAACCAATTCAAAGCCTTGCCTGTCATCCATGCCATGAGGGGAACAAGACAATATCAGAGTAAGAGAATGTTAGCCAGAGGAGTTTATCACGAGAACTGTGTATGGCCTGAGACCACACGGTAGCTGTGAAGGACTGACAGGGACCCAATTTCTAGCCAGCTGGATTCTGACGATGTCACTGATTGGGTTAAAACTTGCTTGTTATCAGGAAACTGCTCCTATGGATCCAAGAAATCAAAGACATAGCATTGGATTATAGGCTGGAAGATACAGCAGACAAAATAAGATATCAATATCCCACCTGCTGTAAATGCTTTGATTTAGTAGGACCAACAACAAATGAGGGTAATCATAAGTACACATACACTAGACTGAAGATACAAACATTTTTATTATGCACCAGCACTACATCATAACAAAACTGGGGAAAGGTCTTATAGTTTATACTGCTTTTTCTCAGTGTTCCAAGTTATAAAATATATTACAGGTCAAGGCAAGATAGTTATACCTTCATTCTGATGTCCAGATTAAATGAAGAAAGAATAAGGATTGAGAAGATTATTTCCATATGAAGAGGGAAGGGCTAAAGAATTTGAAGGCACTAAAAATCCACTCAATGTAATGAAATAGATGAGAAAAATAATGCCAGTTTCTTGAATGAGTTTGAAAAGGAGATGGGCATACATAGAATTGAATTTTGAAAAGCCATTTTGATAGCACATATCCAACTATTAAACCAAGTTGCTAAAATTATTTTTTTAAGAATCTGGCTTTGGCTCCAACCATCATGGGTAAACACATTCTTCCATAATATTTGACCAAGAATAAATCAGTTGCGGCTCATATACAACAGTATGCACTATGGATATTGTCATGATAAGGTCCACAGAAGAAAATATGACACTGTCTAGAAAAACCAATGACAGGTATCAAATGCTATCATGTCAGAAGCAGCTTAAGAAAACTTTTGAAGACCTGCTAAAAGAAAATAGAAAATTATACAATTACCTAGCTGTTGCATGCAGTAGAAACTTTGTACGTGATATCCCCTGACTAAAGGAAACAAAAAAAAAAAAAGAAAGAAACATGTATAATGGAATCCTGAAAATAAAAGTACATTAGGAATTATTAATACTCTCAATCAACAATTAATTAAAAGTAAAAATCAAAAGGTTAAGGCAATGTAAGGAATCAAAGCAGCACAAAGAATGAAATTAACAATTCAACATCATTTTTGTTAAAAAAAAAAAACCATGCTGTAGAGCCTTGAGGAAATTCAAATAGAGGATTTCAGAAAAAAATAAAATGTGGAAAATTTCTAGTCTCTCTGGGTGAATCAAGTCCAACACAAGGAAAATGCAAGTTGGATATATCAAATAAGAAACAGAAAGCTAATTATAATTATTTATAATATAATTAAAATATAATATATAATATAATTCTAATCATGAATGGAATAAATTTACCAAAGGAGATGACAGACATTTTAACTTCTCTGAAAAACTAAAATGTGGTAGGCTCAAGTGAGATCCATAATTATTGGCTCACACATTTCACATTGGTGAATAAATTATTAGCAAAGCATTTTGCCCTTTGCCTCAGTGATGCAAGTCTGACCCCATTTTTCTTAACAGAACAGATTGCATATTTATTGTTAAAAGATGAAGAAATCATTGGCCCTTCTAATCTAGGTCAATCACATGTTTACAAATTCTATATATTCTATAACGTGCATCACTGAAAATCCATAAACCCTTCCAAAAGGGTCTTACAAAAATTCTCACAGGTATAAAGATCAATTTATTATTGATTCATTGATTATTGAACATTTATACTACTTTTATTGATTATCACTAGGCCTTTAACTCAGTTTTGCACTCAGGGCTTGCATATGTAGTGACAATGTATAAAATGGATCCAAGCATAGTAAAAATGCTAGAGTAATGGATGTTCATATAAGAAACTGTTCTCTATATAAAACCAAGCCTCATTTCACAAATCAACAGAAAAGGCTCATGGTAGGTTTGTCAGATATGACTGCTAATGGTTCATCTCTGGAAAGAGACTCTTAAACAGCTAAGAACTAAGAGGAGAGTCAAATGGGCACAGCATGCATGATACCCACATGAGCTCAACCAACAATATATCAACAGTGAAATGTCAAACAAATGGCTTATCCTTGTGAGTTTGCTTATAGAGTAGGGAGGTTTAAGATAGCAACAGGTCATTAATACCCAAAATTGCAGAAAGCTTTCCTTAAAGAACTCACCTATTAATCTGCACAGATTATGCACTGAAATAGTAGAAACTGTGTAGCATATCATTGCAGGTTGCAAAAATGTACCTTCTATCAGATACCGGGAAATATGCAATCAAGAGGTTAAAATTATCAGAAGCTTGTTATCCTTTATAAGTGAAGAGATAATAAATCTCTGTATTATTTAAGTCCCCAAAATATCATTGAGAGTACAACAAAGAAGCTATACTCTAACTGGTGCATTCTCACAGACAGAACTGTGGTTCACAATTGCTTTTGTCTAATATTAATCTATAAAAATGCAGAAGAGTGTTTTAAATAAATGTTGCCATATTAGATACTTATAATATCCAAACAACATGGAATGAAAAACTTTTAAAATAAAGTGTTCTCATGGAAGAAATTAATATCATGTGGAAACACGATGAACTGAAGAATCCATGCATGGCCAGGACATATTGTGGTAGTACAAACATGGGTAACACAAAGGGCAAGGGGAAAAGAAGTAGTAAATAAGCATTTATTCAGCATCTACTCAGTACCAGACATTGTGCTAATCATTTAGTTTTTTACAAATGTTGTCTCATTTCATCCTCACAACAGTCCTGTGGGGTACATGCTATTATTATTCCAATTTTAGAGCTGAAGGAGCTGAGGAAGAGTGAAAGAAAGTGATGTGTCACAACTCTTAAATGTCTGAGGCCAAATTTGAACTCAATTTTTCCTGACTTCAGGCCAAGCACTGTATATAGTCAGACATTTCAAGAGTGCTGATTTCTTCCAATAGTGTGATTGTGTTGCTGTCATTGGGCCTTCCCCTCATGAGTAGCCTCATATTGTCACTTCCCTATTGAGCATAGTCTCTCTCCTCTTTCTGCTCATCTTTAGCCACTAGCTTCTGGGCTTCATCACTACAGAATGTGCACTGGCCATCTTGTCTCCTAATTGCTAGGGTGTGCTGACAATACAAACTTTTTCAGAAAAGGGTCAGCTGACTATTCTTTTTTCATAACTAGGCTATGAACTACCATACTTAACTGAGGGCTCAAAAAAACCCAGACTAAGATTAATTCTATTCTTTTGAATACTCCCTCCTTCCATAGGGATCAAGAAGTCTTTCCCAAGTTTTTTTTTCTCTGATTTGGTGCTAGAAAGTCTCCTTTAACTCCTGCCTGTTTCTAGTTGCCAGAGTGTATCCCCTGCCCCCAAACAATCCCGGGAGCTTTCACCATGCTTCAAAGGGCTGTGTGGGAATGAGACACTATAGCTTCATTCAGTCCCATGTCCCCCAAGATCTTTTGGGTCTTGTGATAAAAATGAATACAAGAAATATCAAAACTATGGGAAGATAGCAAAGTCATAATCTTGTACCTTCCTTGGCTAGATTCCTGCCTTTATTATGTCCATGTGGTTAATAGGAAAACAGTCTTCAAGTCATCATCAATCAAACTTACTTAAACCTTACAACATCCCTGTGAGGTAGTCCCTCTTATCTTCCATTTTGTTCATGAGGAAACTGAAGCTTAAAGCATTTAGAAGATATGCCCATAGATACATAGCTGCTAAGTGACAGCTGTAGAATTCGAACTCTTGTTTTTCCTGACTCAAAGTCTAGTTTGTGTTTTCCTTTCGTGTGTATGTTCCACATGCTAATCAACCTCTTTCCTTGTGATTGTAGTATAAGTTTATGTTTACCTCTAAGAAATTTAAGCAATATTCAGTCCTATTGACTAGCCTGAAAATTAGCGGCTAGGAAATAAGTACTACATTCATAGTCATGTGGAGAGTAGGTAGATTTTCTTTCTTATAATAAAGTCAGTAATGGGAAAGTGTATTGCCTCGTGAAGTCTGAAAACTAAGGCTCAGTGGAGAGTCCTGGTATGCTTCTTCTTTTGGTTTCACTCCATTAAAAAGTCAGCCTTCAAAAAAGTAACTGAAAAAATCTCCTGGTGTTCTTTTGTGACTGCAGTTATTGACACACCTGAGGATGAAGAGATACCAAAGGTTTCAACCCAGTTTTTAAAACAGCACTTTGAAAAGACAGCCCAAGAAAAGGTCCTTCATTCTGATAGAGATATGGCGACTCCAGTCAAACATATTAAGGTAGGCAACTGAACAAAGACAGTCATTTGGATGGATGGGAGGAGGAGTTAACAAGCACATCAAAGGCCAGCCTAGAATAAGATATGTAGTATTTCAGATTATTTCATCTCCATTCTTGTCTTCTAAGTGATTTTTAAAATTTTAAAACACACCTTTAAAAACTGGGTGCACACCACCAGGAAGAATATTGATCCAACCAAGGCTAAAGACAGACAATGGTTAGTACTTTTCTTATTGGAGAAAATGTAGTTAAAAGCCTTGCACTCGATGGGGTTTGGGGAAGGGGAGTGGAAATCAACATATCTCCTAATGTGAAATTGTTATAACTGTCGTGCCCATAGGTAAAATAATAAAATATACTTTAAATTGCTTTCATCTACTCCTTTTTATGACATCCCACTGTTTAGAATCCTGGGCAAGTTTTTGAGTTTTCTGTTGCTTTTCTTCAGATTATTTTTTAATGACAAATCAAGTAAAGGCAGAAAATACCAGTATCTTATTTGGAATGTGGAAATGTTATGAACTGAAGGTAGTTTATATTACATGTGCAACATAACTATTCCATGTCAGTAGATTGTAGCTGGAGAGTGATAAATATTGAAAACTTCACCTATGTAGCCATTTAAATGGAGTAGGTTGCCTACCTAACACCCAAATGCTGGTATTCCCATAGCAAGCCACCTTGTGTGGAAATGTGATGACCATGCCTACAAAGCCTCTTTTCCTCTCTCACTCTTCAAACATAAATTTTTGTTCCCTAAAGATCGACAGTGAATATAAAGAAACTGTGTGGCCATCTCCAGTTATCACTTCCTTAACTGCCAATGCTTCAGCCAGTCAGAGGCAGGATACGTCGACCATGAGGCACAGTGAATACAGATCTACTTCTTCATCCTCTGCACAGGTTAACACCACAAATTTTGGAAAGACAGAAGATTTTCCTCCTCCCCCACCTGAAGTCATGCCAACATTAGCAGATGTGACAGCATTTTCCCAGTCCCCTGAATTCCCTAGACCCCCTGGAAAATTTCCCATCCCCAAAGATTTATATTCCAAGCAGAGAAATTTATATGAATTAAATCGCTTATACAAACACATCCACCCTGAATTAAGAAAAAACTTAGAAAAAGATTACATTAGTGATGTTTCTGAGATTGTGTCTCATCAGGTAGACACAGGAGACTCTGTTTCTGCAGATGTGCAGCAAACTCGCTATGTTTTTGAAAATACTGGTGGCAGCGATCAAAAATGTCCGAATCCTGAAAGAGAGTTGCTTGAATGGGATGAAATTCTGAAGGGAGAAGTACAGTCCATGAGATGGATTTTTGAGAACCAGCCTTTGGATTCCATCAAAGATCAATCTCCAAATGAAGGCAACAGCAAAAAAGGCATTGCTGATCAAGAAATCATTGCTGGGGGAGACGTGAAATATGCCAAATGGATGTTTGAAACCCAACCAATAGATACATTAGGGGTTCATTCTTCTGGATCCACAGAGAGTGATTTGAAAGTTCCAGAACTAGCCAGGGGAGATGTGCGCACAACCACATGGATGTTCGAAACACAACCACTAGATTCAATGAACAAAATTCATGAGGACCAACAAGAAGGGTCAGAAGTAATTGCTATTAAAGATATAACTGGAGGTGATGTCAAGACTGTGAAATACCTATTTGAAACTCAAAATCTTGACCAACTTGGGCAGCTATATTCAGTGGATGAAGCTAACTTACTACAGCTTAGATCTGAGCTCAAAGAGATTAAAGGGAATGTGAAGAGGAGCATAAAACATTTTGAAACTCAACCACTGTATGTTATCAAAAATAATTTAGGGCAAGTTCTTGAGATTAAAACTGTTCACAGGGAAGACATTGAAAAGGGGGATGTGAGAACCGCACGCTGGATGTTTGAAACACAACCATTGGACATGATTAATAAAGATGTTACAGAAGTTAAAGTTGTACGTGGAATATCCATGGAAGAAAACATCAGAGGTGGAGTAAGTAAGGCAAAGTGGCTATTTGAAACCCAACCTCTCGAGTCCATCAAAGAAGAATCCGAAGTGTCCATCATTGAAAAGGAAACTATCATAGGTACTGATGTCTGCAGAAAGTGTTGGATGTTTGAAACTCACCCTTTAGATACCCTAAAAGAGGTCACTGAGTCAAATCCTTTGCCAGCTGAGGAAATAATAGGTGGTGATGTAAAAGCCACCAAGTACTTATTTGAAACACTTCCAATGGATGTTTTAAAAGATAGTCCAGAAGTTGGTAAACTTCCAAAGATAGTGGCTTCTGAAGAGGAAAAAGGAGATGTGAGACACCAGAAATGGATTTTTGAGACTCAACCTTTAGAAGAGATTAGAGAGGGGGAGAAAGAGCATATAAGGACAGTTAAACTTGAAGAGATCGACAGAGGGGATGTTCGAAGCTACACACATATCTTTGAATCAAACAATTTAATTAAGGTTGATGAATCACATAAAATACAAGTGGAAGGAGTAACCAGAGGTGCTGTAGAGTTCAATAAATCTCTCTTTGAAACAACTCCCCTGTATGCTATTCAAGATCATCTTGGAAGATATCATGAAGTTAAAACAGTTCAACAAGAAGAAATACTAAGGGGTGATGTGAGAAGTTGTAGGTGGCTATTTGAAACTAGGCCCATTGATCAATTTGACGAGAGCATTCATAAATACCAGATTATCAAAGGGATATCTACACGAGAAATACAGTCTGGCAATGTGAAGTCTGTTAAATGGTTGTTTGAAACGCAGCCTCTAGATTCTATTAAATATTTTAATAAGATGGAAGATGAAGAAAGTAAAAAACAGCAAACTATGGATATTGTGAAAGGGGATGTAAAAACCTACACATGGCTGTTTGAAACCCAGCCAATGGAGTCCCTTTATGACAAGACAGAGTTAATGACTGACAGTGAAGAAATTCATAAAGGAGATGTCAAAACATGTACTTGGCGTTTTGAAACTCAACCACTTGATGCAATAAAAGATGACTCAGAAGCACTAGTCAAACTCCAAACTGTAAAACAGGAAGACATCCAAGGAAGGGATGTCCGCACAGCCTGCTTTCTTTTTGAGACAGAAAATCTAGACAAAATACAAGGAGAAGAAGGAAAGGAAATCAGGTCAGTGGAAGTGGATATTCAGTCTGGGGATGTTTCTAGCATGAAGTACAAGTTTGAAAATCAGTCCTTGGATTCCATAAGTTCCAGCTCAGAGGAGGTTTTGAAAAAGATCAAAACCCTACAAGCTGAAGATATTCAGAAAGGCAATGTTTTAAATTGCAGGTGGCTCTTTGAAAACCAGCCTATTGATATGATAAAAGACAGCCAAGAAGGTGATGAATTAGTCAAGACAGTGACAGACATACAAGGTGGGAATGTGAGAAGAGGGTGCTTTATTTTTGAGACTTTTTCTTTGGACCAGATTAAAGACAAATCCGAAGAGATCAGCACTGAGAAAACCACTGGCAAAGATGAAATAATGAAGGGGGATGTGAAAAACTATAGAATGCTATTTGAAACCCAACCACTCTATGCTATTCAAGACAAAGAAGGGTATTATCATGAAGTGACAACAGTTAAGAAAGAAGAAGTGATTCATGGAGATGTATGTGGGACTAGGTGGCTGTTTGAAACAAAACCTTTAGATTCTATTAATGAATCAGATAATGTATATATTATCAAATCAGTCACACAAGAGGATATTCAAAAAGGAGATGTTAGTTCTGTCAGATATAAATTTGAAACACAACCACTAGATAAGATTTCAAAAGGGACAAATGTAATTGTTCCCACTATTGACTGTGTTCACGGTGGGAACGTGAAATATCATAAGCAACTCTTTGAATCTGAAGACTCTGAGAAAAGAACATGTGTTAGAACAGTTACTGTCAATGAAATACAACAGGGCAATGTTAAAACCTCTACTTGGCTGTTTGAAACTCACACCCTAGATGAGTTGAGAGGACAGGGGTCAGAATATCAGCATATCAAGACAGTCACTAAGGAAGATGTGCAGAAAGGTGATGTCAAACAAGCAGTATGGCTTTTTGAAAATCAGACTTTAGATTCTATTAAGGAAACAGGTGAATATATCAGAGAAATAACCAGAGAAGAAATCCCTCCCTCTGATGTCAAAACAACAACATGGCTCTTTGAAACAACACCCCTTCATGAATTTAATGAAAATAAAGTGGAAAAGGAGGAAATTATTGGAAAGAGCATTAAAGAAACCTTAGAAGAATTATATTCACAGAAAGTGATTGAATCTCATGGAATTATCATTGAAGCAAATGAAGTTGGGAATGTCCGGATGGCTAAGTACCAGCTAATGAATCAGAAATCTCCTGAAATACAGAAAGAAGAAGTTATTAGAGGAGATATCAGAACTATAATGATGAACCTGCTTTCCAAAAGAAATGATGTCAAAAGAGAGATTTTAATTGGCGAAGAAGAAAAGGGTAATGTCAGTTTGACCAAAGCCCAGTTATTAAACAGATCTACAGAAATTCAATCTGAAAAAGAAGAAATAGTGAGAGGGGATATACAACAAGCAATAAAAAACTTGTTCAGTGAAGAACGATCTGTAAAACAAGGCATTATAATTCAGGAAGATGAAAGAGGGGATATTAATATGACAATCTATTGTCTTCTTCATGAAAATGATAATGATAACAAAGTAGAACATGAAGAAATAATAGGTGGAGATGTGAAACGCACTATTCACAACTTATTGTCTTCTGCTGCAAATTATGAAATAGCCAAAAAGACTAAAGTAGACGCATCAGAGAGGGGAAACGTTCAATTTTTCACAACATGCATAGAAGCTGGAGCATTAGATTACCTCAAACTACTCCAGACAGGGTCAAATGAAACACTTACAACTGGGAAACAAGAAGGAGAGGAGGAAATCATTGGTGGTGATGTTGAAGGCACAAAGCTGTTACTAACAAAAAGGAAGTCTCAAATTGAACGTACTGTTAATGAAACTGACATCATCCCAGGAGATGTGTATAATACAGTTAAGGTTTTCATGACAGAGCCTCAGAGTACATCCTGTCAGGCACCTAAAGAAGAAATTGTAAAAGGTGATTTGAAAGCAACCCTAAGTTCCCTCAGTGAGGCCATAAATCAGAAAACAGTTACAAAAAGGGAAGAAATTATGAAAGCTGACATGCTTGCGACATTGAAGTCTCTTCAAGAAGCAAGGCACCAATGGAAAGAAACTGAGAAGCCTGATATTATCCCTGGTGATATTAAACAAGCTATTGAATCTCTTGAAAAAGCAGTAAACACAAAGACTGAAATTTTGAAAAAGGAGCTTATGCGAGATGACCTTGAGGCAACATTACGAGTACTGAAAGAAGATCAGCATTCTTACAAGAACATAGACAAAGAAACTGCAACCAAAGGAGTGAGGCAGGCTGTGAGATGTGATTCCACTGAAGAACACAAAACCCAAAACAGCCAGGTAGCTACCCCCAGGGACATAAAAAGGACCCTGCAGCCAAAATCTGAGTCATTTGAGCAAGGAGCCCAATACCAAGATAAATTAGGAATGCTTAAACAAACTGCAGCCAAATCTTTTCATGGCTATTCAAAAGGAAAACATAGTGATATTGTCCCTCCAGAAGCCCCCAAAGGCACTGTAAAAATTGTTATAGGTCGTGACCAAAACTACGATGCCCTTGAGAAGAGCCTCCAAAGATTGTCCAATTCACCTCCCAACACTGCTGAAAATTTGTTCCAGAATGGAGATCAAAACAGCATCCAAGCCGATGCATCAAGAACACAATACCTTAGAAAAGAGCATGTGAGGAGCCAGGAAGCTTCTTATAGCTCAGTTCAGAAAAATGTAAGAAGTGAGAAATCAGAGATGGGTGCTATACTGAAAAAGGATGATGCCTCTAGTGCTGCCTTGACTACTGAAAAAATGCAGCAGAATCAAATGTGTATGCTAAGCAGTGGCCAGCAAGCCAGGGAGTCTTCCCATGAAAAAAGTCATAAAAAGACTAAAAAGACAAAAGTAGCAACAGATACACCCACTTGCAAGTCTTGTGCTAGCCCCCCAGTTAGCATCCCAGCTAATGACAATAAGATGTATGGAGTGACTGGTCATATTCAGAAGGAAATTTTACTAAAGGAAGAAATGAGACAAGAACAGTATGCTAGTGAGGCTTTTCAAAGGAATGAAATGAACCTTCAGCAAACACAGCCTTTTGTTCCTTTGTTCCTCAAACAGGATATTCAAAATGTATCTGAAGAAAAAGCCACAAAGGGAAACCATGGAAAATTTAAGGCAACAACAGAAAGGAATAAAAAGATTGATGTTCATCAGAACAATGAGAACTCTCAAACAAAGATGGATGCTTCAACAAACTTAAAAGTGACTGTGGAAAAATTGGCTGCTGTGAGTAATATGGCTGAAACTCATTCCTCCCTTCCACCTCCATCGCCACCTCCACCTCCTCCGTCCAATGCATCATCTGAAATTGAATTTCCTCTACCTCCTCCACCTCCTTTAATGATGTTACCTGATAAACATGAGTTTTCTTCATTGCCATCCACAGAAAAGATAAAGGCTGAATTTGATGGCTTCCCCTGCCTTCCTCCCCCACCTCCACCAGTGGATGACAAAACTGAGGGAGAATGTCCACCAACCTTTTTGCCTCCCCCACCTCCTCCATCACAGAAACCCGTACATCTTTTTTCTTCCACAATTCAAACAAAAGACTGTGGAGAGAGTATTCAGCAACATTGCCAAGAGGCAGTACAAACTTATTCAGGGGCCAGATCTTTAATAGGAAAACCAACAGCATTTCCACCTCCTCCCAAGTTCCCCAAACCAAAATTCTTCAAACAGTCTGATGAAAATGAACGTAGTATCAATCCCAAGATGGAACCTCTTCATCTTCAGTCAAATATAGGAACTACGATGACCAAAACAAAGGAACAAAATACAGTGATGATAAAGAGCAGTGTGGAGCACACCCAGAAAAAGGAGAAAATGTATACTGAGACTTCTGAAGAAAAACAACAATCATCCACTGCTGAGCCCATAAAGCCTTCCCTTCAGACTGCTCAGGAAGCATTACCTCCCAAAGAAGAAAAAATCTCACCTCTTGTCAAATGCTACTCCTTTCCTTTAGATTCAGAACAGACAAGCCCTAAGCCATATATCAGAAAATTTAAAACCCCTCTAATGATTGCTGAAGAAAAATACAAGCAGCAAAGGGAAGAGATTGAAAAGCAGAAACATCAAAGCTCTTGCCATCACACAGTCAAAACAGAAGGTCATAATGGAATTGAATTAAAGTCTGAAGTAAAAATAACATCACAGAAACCAAGGGAAGAAGATTCCTTGCCTACATCAGCCACAGAGGTCACACAGTCAAATTCTAAGCATCAAGTCAGTCTCCAGACCAAAGGGACTTCTAGTGAAGACCTGATGTCTGAATCATCAGCAGTGTCACTGGCTGCCCAGAAGCTCCACAGTGTCTTGGACATACCTATGGATGAAGAGCACATTCAAAAGGAAGCTGTCCAAGATTCAAGGGACATTAAGCAACATAGCTTAGCTCATCAAATGGAACAAACATGCCAAGAATATTCTTCTCATGTAAGAGAGCAGGAAATTAATGAGAAGCAATTGTACCTATCCCCAAACAAGTCAGTATCCCCAAATTTAAAAGCTAAAAGTGTCAAGTTCCCAACTTTAGAGCTAAGCTTAAATAAAATATCCCAAGATTTCAAAATTTCCCAAAAGCAACCAGTACCTAATGTTCAAACCACAATGAAACAAGAGCGCCAGGAAAGACAGAAAAATGAGATAAATACAGTTACTAGAAATAGGGAAAACACTGTTGAGGAATGTTATCAGCTACAAAAGAAGGAAAAAAGAGAAATGAGTAAAATGCCTACCAATCCTTCAGAGAAGAAGCAAGAAAAAGAATCAAATAACATTTATCACAATCCAAAAGAAAGAATGGAATTAGTGGGCATGAAAGCTTTAGCAACTCAAGAAGAAAACCAGAGACAGGTAGTGGTTGGTCCAAAACCACAAAAATTAATAGTGGAAAGAAAGCAAGAACACCTTAAGAATAAATCATCAGAGAAAGTAGTCCAGAAAAAAGTTATTGATGCACACATTGACTCACTGACACGAAATTGTCAGCAAACACAGATTCATACTTCTGAAAGTAAAGTCAAGCATAAAAAATTACCCCAGCAATATAACGGTCTGAAAGAAGAATGCCTCACAATCAAGGGCATACAAGAGAAACAGGTCCCTGCTAATACTAAAGAGTCCAAGGAAAAGATAACAGAAAATAGGATTTTATTTTCTTCCATGCAAAATTCCCAGCACGATGATGAAAAATGCACCATAAATATATTGGAGTTCTTGAGAAAACGTGAAGAACTACAGCAAGTTCTGTCTCGAGTGAAACAATTTGAAACAGAACCAAATAAAAATGATATGAAAGCATTTCAGATACTATTGAATATTATCCCAGAATGGCTGATGAATGAGCAAAGAAAAGAATATGGAATTCGAATTGCCATGGATAATAACTTAGAAAAAGTAAAAGAGGAATTAATCCATATTAAAACTAAAGTGGAAGAAATGCTCATTTCTTGTGAGAACACCATCCGAATGTGCATGAATTCCTCCAAAGCAGTGAAATTGAGAACTGAACCTCCTAGTGAAGCATCTGCCCAAATATCAAAGATTAGTGCTAGCTCTAATAAAAAAATCCAGAAAGAAGAGAAAATTATGAAAGGAAAAGAATCTGATCAAAAAGAGAAATCCCATTCTAGTGAACCATCACCTCAAATAGCAAACATTAGTGTTGGGTCTAGCAAAAGAGTCCAGAAAGAGGAAAAAATTATAGAAGAAAAAGAATCTTATCAAAAAGTGAAATCCCAACAGGAAATTAAACAGGTAGAATGTCGAAATATTTCTCCATATTTAAAACAACGTTCACCATCACCTACTTTCATAACAATTGAATCTACTGCCCGAAAAACAGAGACACCTACTGTGAACAGGCCTTCTTTGACTCCTGTGAAGAAGGGAAGTGTATTTATTTTTCCTTCCCGAAGCAGATCCACAACACCACCATCCAGAGATCACCAGGCATCAGCTTCTCCTTCTCCCCCTAGAAACCGCTCTGAGCAACTTGCCAAACTAAAAGACACCACAGCAAAATTGTCCCAAAAGACGTGTCACTATCAGTCCGTAACCCCAGGTCCAGTTGTAGAGAAAAGAGCTGAAATAGTCAGGTCTCCTGCAACACTGCGACGTCAAATTAAGACAGAAACCCCAATCCCTATAAATGTATCTCATGTCACTGCTAGTACAGTCATAGAAGCCAAAGAAGCACAAGAGGAGGTCCAGCAGGTAGAGAAAAGGGCAACTTACATTCACAGCGATGGAGTCAATATCACAGGGCACGTGGTGCCAGATACTGAAAGTTTTGATTCAATCGAAATCATACACAAAGTTGAAGTCCCTCAGGTAGGCTTGTCAGGGCACTCTAAGATATATGAAGCTTCCAATCAAACAGTTCATGTGGCTGAAAATGTAGTAAAGAGCAATGAAAGTGGAACAAACAGATGGCTAGAGAAATTTCAGAATGACCCAATTTTTGAGGCACAGTCAAATAGAAGAGTTCACACAAATGGTGAAGTAAACCATAACCGAAGACAGGAAATGCACACCTTTAGCCAGAAGGGATTTGGGTTGACAGCTATGGAAAGTGAAAGCATAAACAGCAGTTTCAGAAACTTTTCTTGTGGTCATTCCAAAGATCCCCAGAACAAAATTCCATATGAACAACCCATTGAGTGCTCAGAAGCAAAATCCCTAAGAGAATGTTTTTCAGGAGTGGATACATACAAAAATAAAATTGTTGGGTCAAAGACAGTAGGCTCTTCAGCACAAAACTCAGAAGCAGTTAAGTCTGGCTTTGACTTCAAGCATGCCCCACCAACCTATGAAGATGTCATTGCCGGCCACATTTTGGATATCTCTGCAGAAGATTCACCAGAAGAGCTCTTGAGGAATTTTCAGAAGACATGGCAGGAAAGTGAGAGAGTCTTCAAAAGTCTGGGATATGCTGTTTCAGATACCTCTGCAACCGAAATGAGGAGTAGCTTCCATGAGGAAGCTGCTTTTAGGAGTGGTAAATGAATCTACAAAGCATGAGTTTTGAAGTGTGAAGAAAGATTAACCAATTAAGGCACATGAGCCCACTAATCAGAGTGTTTTGCATTAAATGAAGTGTGTGCATATATTCAAACAACATAGCTCCAAACTAACAAATGTGTCCATTATTCTTGCCTTCTTACTTTCTCTTGGCTGGCTTTTACTATAATACCACTCCCTTTCCAAAGACATTGGACTTAAATGATTTATTCTGGGTGAAACAAATCAGAAAAAGTGTTGATTTTTAAAGCATAGATTTGCTAAGGTAAATAATGGATTTGAAGTAGCAGTACATGAGAAATAACTGGCCAAATATAATTATCATTGTTCAATGGGAGAAAAAAGTACAAATTCCAAATATAGCTTTGGAATGAAAAGCTCTAGATCCCAACTCTAGCTCAGTCATTTATTACCCGTGTGAACCTGAATAAATCGTTTCCCCTATGTAGGTCTCAGTTTCTTCATATGTAAAATGTGGGAGTTCTAGACAATCTTTGAGATCCACCGTTTTCTGTAGATATATGATCCTCTGATACTTCTAAGGTCCCTTAAAACTCTGAATCTCGGATCTTATGAATTAAGAGCAAAATGTTGGCATTTCATCTTTTAGTGTTCTACCAATGATAGTGTTTTATCAGCGTACTTTAGTAAATACTCAGCAACATGCCCTGACCTACTGTTGACATACTCTTAACTGCCAGAGTTAAGTGGTGTTTGTGTTGGAGTTGAATACAGCCTAGTAATAATCCAAGAAACAATTTAGAATGTTCATATGTGCTTTAAGGTTTCCTATTGATCTGTTTCTCTGACAAAAGGATAAGTAGGACCTGAATTAGACCTTTTATTTATTTACTGTTACAGAGCTTGTTTAGGATAGACTATAATGCCACTCTCTTTTTGTCCTGAAGCACCAATTTTTTCATCCTAAGTCGAGACTAAATTTCCCAAAAGGCCATTCTCATGCACATGAAATTATATACTGTGATGGGAGGTTGTTTCTAGAGATAAATTTATTCTGTACTTGGACTTGGGATTTTGTATATTCAGAGACACTTTTAAAAAAAAATCAATTAACAGTACTTCACATGCAAAAATATTTTACATAATTAGCTAAAATCATTATTGTAGTTAATCCTTTCGGGAAGATTGAAAGAAATACCAAATTTAAAAATGAAAACTGTAGAAGCACTAATAATAATTATGCCCTATCATAGTTGAAACATATTGTCTAGTTTAACAGGTTAATGTGGTTCTTTGATGTGCTTGCTTCTGGCATAATTAAGCAAAACTGCCTAAGCAATTTCAGATGCCCAACTTCTGGCAAACACAAAAAACAGGTCTTGGAGGAAGAATAATATCATATTTATTTGGAACTCAACTGAGAACCAAACATTAAACATAAAAGATGTCTTAGCACTCAAAGATACCACAGAATCCACGTATGAAATTGCATCTGCTTATAGGAGAATTATTTTGGGTGGGTGGGGCTCATTCAGAGTCTCTTTAGTCATATTTCATGCATAATTCTGCAACTTAGTTAAAATGTTTTTAAGCACAGAGCAAATTTGAAACTACAAATAGAAGAGGCTAAGGGGTTGTTGCCTACTTTGATAAACAGTAAGGAAAGGAGACTGAAAAGTTATAGGAAATAGACACAAGAATTCAAAAGGCCACTTAGTCTTGGGCAGAGCACCCTCACATTCACCAACAGCCCTTAGAGTATCTCTGTATTATGGTACAACTGCTATTCAAGACAACACCCAAGTTCCAAATTATTGATCATAGAAGGTTAAGGAGTAAATAATACATTTTAGAAACTTCTTTTTATTTCATTGATTAAATGAGCAGAATATATTATTATATGCTACCTTGAGTAAAAAAAATAACAAAAAGTTTCCTATTGTTTGATATGTAGCTATGGTATATGGAATTACAGTGATATACATTAACATGCACACATTCAAATACTTACATACAGGCACATATTCTTGTGGAATTATATTGGCTTTAGATGCATTGTGGTCAAAATTGCATGACGTGCCTGTTATCAAACAGTGAAAACTAGTATCATGGCAATGCCCTTTATCTGCATGGATTGATTTTAAAAAGACATTTAGTAAACTATTTCAAAGAGATACCTGAAGAAGATGCCACATGACCTTTGCAAAATTTTTCTTCTAGAAACTTCTACTCCAGGACAAGGAAATGTGTACACTTTGTCAAAAGACCGTTTATCCAATGGAATGCCTGGCAGCAGACAAGAACATTTTTCATAAGTCATGTTTCCGATGCCATCATTGCAGTAGTAAATTGAGGTAAGTAGGAGGAGAAGGCATATTTGATCTTTAGAGAAGATAAACATCACAATATAGGCAATCCTATACTCCCTTTCTTCTCAGCTATCCATTTAAATACAAGTATAACAACAATTGTTATACACAGTTTACTCCACCACAAAATGAGGCTCTGTAACATATGTTTTTCAAGGGCATCTAGGTGCCGCAGTGGATAGAGCACTGGCCCTGAAGTCAGAAGTACTCGAGTTCAAATCTGGCCTCAGACCAAACACTTGACACTTACTAGCTGTGTGACGGTGGGCAAGTCACTTAACCCTAATTGCATAAAAAAAATACATTTTTCAGAGGTGTCCTTGACCTTTCTCTTGAGTCATTTCTTGCTGTTTTTACTTCTTGGAGCAGTGGAATTGATAAGCTCCTTGAGGACAGAACTGTTCAAATTCTTACTGTTGCTGTTGTGGCTGTTTCCTTTGTTGTCCTCAGCACCTACCACGGTGTCTTATGAACAGCAGGCAGTTAATTTTTGTTTATAGAGGGAGGTGGAGTGGGAATAAATGAGTTTACCAGGCGTCTAGAATGCTGGATTCATATGTGTAATCAAAATGGCAAAACAGTTATCTTACTCTTGCATCCTACATTCGTAATGCCCTTCATTTTGCTTCTCTTGAAAATCTTGAAGCACCTTTTTTTTTTAAAATTAGACCCGTGATTTCGTTGATAAAGGGAGTTCCTGGTGAGAAACTTCCCCTGTAAATTCAAATAAGTGGCTTTTCCACAATTTAAAATCTGTATCTATTGTTTGGGTTACTAAAAGTTGAAGTGACTTTCCCAGAATGATATATTCAGCATGTGGCCAAGGCAGGATTTGAACTCAGATTTTCCTTACTCTGTGGCCAGCTCTCTGTTCCATACTGTCTGGCCAAATAGATCCCCTCTCAAAACAAGTCTTATTTAAAAGCTAATAAGATTTTTATTGGCCTGAGTTTTGACTAACATTTGAAAGGGATCCTTTCCATAATCTGAAGGAAAATGTTGGTGCATCATGACCCAAACTTTTAATGCAAATGAGGTTTAGCCTTGACTCTTCAAGTCTAATCTTTCCCCAGGTGACAGGACAGACCTTCTGCCATATTTTCCTTGTTGCATGGCTGCGACCTAAGTCACTAGGAGAGGGCTCTTTGTAGATTTGTATTTGCCCATTGGCCCCAGGCCCATGATTCAGATTCACAGGCTTGTGGGACTAGGACTAAGGTAAACCCAAGAATCTTGAAAGTCGAAGCCCAGACTACCTCCTAAGGGAAGTTGTATGAGCCCGGAGTCCATCATTCGTGTTCATCATACTGTAAAGGAAGGTTCTGATTTCTTGTTTTCTGTGGGACTTTAGAGGTAAGGTCTAAGTCCTTTGGGAACTGGCCAAATGGTATAGGGTATTTTTCTGGTTGTTGGGAAAGAGAAAGAACTGTTTCATCTACTCAGCTTTAGACAAATTTACCTTTAAAAATAGGTCTAGCCTTACAACTCAATGAATCTGAAACAGTTTTGTTGAACAAGGCTTTACATTTCACAGAAGGCCAGATCTATGCATAGGCAGAAGGGGCAGCTGTCCTTAAGCTGTGTTGAAAGTCCACAGACCCCAAAATAATCTCACCAGTTTACCATGGATTTTGAAGTCCTCACCAAGACAGCTACTGCTTTGTATTAAGGTATTATTTCTACAAAGTCCTAATTAAAATTGAAATAGGCTAAATTTACTCATTTGTATTCATTAATATGTCACAGACCAGTTCATCAGATTAACTAATAGTCCTCTAGCAGAAAGCAGGGCCCGGAGAGAAAGGGACGTAGAAGCAGGTGAGTTCATAGAACCATACAACTGGAGCTGGAAGCGATCTTAGTGGCCATCTATTCTGCGTTAGATGGCATCTCACAATCGTCAAAATTTAAGCCACAAGAGGATTAATAAGTGACTTACCCAAGGTTCCACAGGTAGTAAGTATTAGAATTCTATTTTGAACTTGGCTCTTTTGATATGAGCTCTAACACTTACCCCCTGTGCTACACTGCCTCCTAGTGAGGGAGGGAGAATAAGGTTTGGGCCATGAGGATGTTGATAATGAAGGTGCATCCAATTGGAAGTGTTGCAGTGGGAAGCCCTGAGCAACCAGAAAGGCTGAAAATTTAAAAAAAAAAGAGAAAAATATTAAAAGAAGTGACTGAGCAGGAGGCAAGAAGGGAGGCTGAGGATTGGTAGTGGTGCCAAAGACAAATAGCCTCTCCTTTTACAGTACCATGATCTATAGTGTGAAAGGGGGTATTTATTGTAAGACTTCAGTTATCAGTTTTAGATCAAAATCATGGAATGGACAGTTGGAAGTATAAAATTAAGGGTCATGATTCACCTGAGGACTCTAGAATTTACATAGATAATTTAAATGAATGAATAAATTAAATCCTTCCCTCCATGGGGCAATAGTCATATTCTTATTATATTCTTCAGAAGAAAATTTTTTTTCAAATTGATAAGACCTGCTAGAACTTGAATTCCATTGTCATCACTTATAAAGAGAGGAAAAACCTATGACATTTTCTTTCCTCCTAGAAAGTATTCACTTAATAGCCCAGTTTCTAATTCATGATCGCCTATCCTTGTTCAAGTCAAGAAAGTAACTACTAAAAAACCATGGTCCAATGTATGGATTGTAAGAGCTAAAGCATTCAATAAGTGATAATCATCTCTGTATAAATTGAAGTCTTAGGGTCACACCAACTACAAAAAAATACTCAGTTAACTCATTTGGGAAATATCTGGGCCTGCAAACACAGCCTGGCAAAATGGTTCCAAATTTATTCATCTTCCAAGACCTTTGAGGTGAATGCATTTAAATGAGTCTGATTTTTGATGAGTAAAAATAGGAGTGAATTACTTGTCATTCTGAGATGATAAAATGGGGGTTATCACCATGTATGGCACTTTGATTAAAGACTTTCAGGCCTAACCTATTTAAAATACACATTAGGTTTAGCTTCTAATAGGTTCTCAGTTTGTTAGACTTTCTCCACCTTCTGCTGCCTCCAAAGGAGGCAGAAGATACAATTAAATATATGGTAAGTTCCTATTTATCCAGAATTCCGATAAGTAAAAATTAAAAAATGGATTCTTCCCCACCACCGCCACTAGTGTACAACTTTGCTGTGGAGATGCATTCACAAGTAAACCAACCGTTAGGGATTTTTTTTTCAAAACAGCAATTTATGTAATATGTCATAGTATTAATTCAAATTTAACCCAATCTCTTAAGTCATCTACATCTATAACTACAGTTTAGTATGACATCCATAATGATGACCCACAGGTGCTATAAGATCACGAAGTGCTTTATGATGTATTAAAGAAAAAAGTTATGGTCATTATTGTTTTAGTGGTGAGTAAAATACAGTATTCTGTTTTTTTTAATTGGCAATTCAACTCAACATAGTAAACCAGAACACTTCATGTTTAAGTATTCCAGATAACTATTTTTCATATTAAATAGTGGGTCATATAATTTTAACTGAAGTCTGTACTTTGTTAGGTAGCAGTAGATATACAACATATTATAAAGGTTTTTTCCCCCTCTTTGGCAGCTTGGGAAACTATGCATCACTCCATGGACAGATTTACTGTAAACCTCATTTTAAGCAACTTTTCAAATCTAAAGGAAATTATGATGAAGGTTTTGGACACAAACCACATAAAGAGAAGTGGCGTTGTAAAAATCAAAGCAGCTCAGGGGACTTTGTTCATAATGAAGAAATAGATCTAAGTAAGAACATACCAGCAACACCCCAGACACTTGATGTTCTCAGTCAGCACACAGATTCTGGCAATGGCGATGGACCAGGGGAGAATTTGAAAAAACCTGGTGAGAGGGGGAAACTGAAAATTACCTGGCCTCCATTTAACGAAACTCCTAAGAAGCCCTTTACTATTGAAGATGATCTTAAAATGAGTAAACCTAAATGGCCCCCTGATATTACCACCTCTCTCTCCCCTGACCATCCTCTGGAAGATAAAAGTGAAGAAAAGTTAGAAAATGGTAATCTTGTAGAAGGAAAATGGAAAGAGAGAGATGGCATTCCTATCTTGCAACCACACCAGCAATCTATCCATACGTCTCAAAAGGATAATGTTATAGGAATCACTGAGATGAAAACACATGAGACAAGGAGAGAAGAGAAGGAAGAAAACAGGCATGTGCAAGAGAAAGTGAAAGAGATTGAAGTTTCTGAGGATAAGAGGAAAAGTGAAATGGATCTTAATGACACCAATAACATGGCTGTGCAGAGTGCTGAGGAGAAAAATGAAAAAATTAATGAGCCTGGTGATGCTGAAGTTTTACAGGTTACTAACACTGATGATGAGGTGGTGCTAGAAAATTGGAAAGAGAATTTGAATAAGAATAATAATAATAATTATGTAGCAGTCTCACATCCAAGCAGTTGTAGGCAGAAGACATCTATGTTCGATAGGCCTAATCCATTACCAGGATCAAGCGGGACAAAACACGCAGCATCTGAATATGAATTTGAAAAGTTAGAAAATGGATCTAGGATTTCAGAATTACTTGGTATATTTGAGTCTGAAAAGAGTCACTCCAGAGAAGTTTTAGCTGGGGCATATGACAAACAGAATCCTGCTGCCATTTCTCCAAAATCTGAACCCAACAGTGGATTAGTGTCTGAAGAAGCTTCTGTCCCTGCAGCATTACTTTTCAGTACTGAATTGCTGATGAGAGAAAATACCAAAAGTGACTCAAAATTGCCTTCTCTTTTCACTAAAACTGTGAAAATGCCTTCCTTTTCCAAAAAGGAGGAACCGTTTTTAGACACAAGCCTTTTACATTCTGTAGATACACTTAAAAACACTTTGGGCTTCTGTGAAAAAGAATACCAGAATGACAAGAGTCACTGTCAAGGTAAAACTGCAGATGTATCATACAGTGATGGAAAAACAAGGTTTGATTCTCAAAACTCCCAGGGTAAAGCAATGCCTCTGGCATCCTCTTCTAGAAATGAGGTGCAGTGTGAGTCACTCACTATTGAAGAGCAAATTAAAAGAAATAGGTGCTACAATGATATTGAGTGAAATTTAATTGATCGGGTAACACTGACGTGCAGATACTGAAAGAATGTGGAAGTTTACATCTATGTCCATGTTAAGTATTTTAGAGGATTTAATAGCCTTTTATCAGAACCCCTTGTACAACTTGGTATGTTATGACAAATATCATGCTTATCATAACTTGACTGTTTTTCCTTCCCTAAAATGTCCACAAAGAAACTAAATAAGTGTTGTCTTGTCAGTCTGCACCAGAGTATGTATTTATATCTATAGACATACTAGAAACAATCTGATGAAGTATCTGCTTAACTGCTATGCATAAAACTTCTTGCTGATCTTTAAAATGTCAGCAGAAAGGAAAAATATAGCACCTGGTGTGCAGGACAAAAATAAAGATTTCATATCTATAACTTTTTCATGTATTGTTTTAACTATGAGTAAATGAACTTTATTCCATAATAAAATATAAGCATTTGCTTTGGTTAGTTCATTATAGATAAGTATTTCTCACAAGATGTTCCCATTTTGCTATCTGACAAAAGTAGAAATTATATTACAGTTTTCAAAAGCTTGCTATGTGTAATCATCATGATGAATGAAATCACAAAGAGATTTAAGAGATAATTCAGTTAAATATATTGACAGAACAAATTTAGCAGTAATAATGATTATGATGGGGGAGGACAAAAATGTAATGCTAAAGAATCAACTAACTTGGAAACATGCTTGTTATTTTAATAAATTATCCACAATGTTTTATTGTAAACCAGATAGATACTTCAGTGCAAATTAAAAAGTATAAACCATATTCCTGTTTTCAAACTTTTTTCTTAGTACTTGTAAGAAATACTAAGTTTTATTTTATCTTGATTGCATGAAGGAATAGAATATATGTTACTTAACTGTCGAAGCCCAATAAAAAAAAAAACTTTTCAAAATATGAGTTTTGAATTTTCTCCTGACACGTCCTTTTTCTAAAAGCTTTTGAAGTTTATGTAGGAAGAATAACGCTGGCCTCAGTGCATGGTTTAACAGTTAATTAGGTGTGTGCCTGTATAAAAGAAGGCCCCAACACAGATTCCATTAAGTAAACATAAACCTTTGATTTCCTGCCTATGAAGCAAGAGTCTCAAAGATTTTTCCCCTTAAAAATAAAGTATGTTTCTATTTCTTTTTCTTTTCAATGCTCTCTCAATAGATTTCTATGACCCACATTTTAACCACTTTTAGTCGAATGTCGGGTGGTTCTGCTGAGATAATGGCAAACTACAGAGGTAGTATAGCAAATTCATCATTTGTATTGAATTATTGTATTGCTCTTTACTTCCCCTCTTGCTGGTGACACAGCATTTTATCAACAATCATTTATGTTAAGACAACAGAAAACTTTCTGGAGAGCAGAAACCAATTTAATTCAATCAGAAAGCTCACGTTATGTTTTCTAAATATTTCGTTTCCCAAGACAGTCAGATTTTTTTTTTGTGATTGTATTCATGTGATATGACTAAAGACAGAACCAGGCAGTTGTCTGTAGTTGGAAAAAGTCATAGGCTTATCTGGCCACAGATTTGGAACTAGATGCACCATTGGAGGCCATATTGTCCAAACCTCTCAATTTGGAGATAAGGAAAATGAGGCCCAGAGAGGGTAAGGGACTTGCCCTAGGTCACAAAATAAGTGGCAAAGCTGGAGTTTGTGGTTAGCTCCCCTAATTCCAAGTCCAGGCATCTTTCTATTGTACTCAGAAGAAAGATATCCTAAAATTCCTTGTTAAATTTAAGTAAAAATTTCTTCCTTAATCATTTCCCCTTATTTCCCCTCCCCTTGAATTAAGCCTTCTCTTGTAACAAAGAAAAGTAATTAAGCAAAGCCATTTGGCACAGAAACCATCCAATGCAACTTTCTGTATCCAGTATCCCAGCCCTCTACAAAGAGGAAGAATGTGTTTCATCATCTTTTCTCCTGGATCAAAATTGACCATATTAATTCATCGGAGTCTAGCTTTATAAAAATCAAGAAATAGACACTACCTTCCAGTGTTGTTTTACTTCATTGTAGTAATTATACACACATATTTGTGTGTAATGACATACATAAGCATGTGTATATAGGTTTATTTGTATATATACATATATGTGTGAACATATACATATATTTTCCCTGGTTCACTGTACTGTTCATGTAAGTCTTCCTGTGTTCCTATAAATTCTTCATATATGTCATTTCTTACAGCACAATGGTATTGCCTATGCATATGCTTCATTTTGTTCAGCCATTCCACAATCAATGGCTATCTGGTTTCTTTCCAGTTTTGAAGGTGATGGGTCTTAAAATTCATAATTATCTTCATAATTAAATTTAAAAGAATACTCATACATTTGATTTATGTTTTACCTATTGTAAACATGACATGAGTGATTTTAGCTTTCTTTTTCTTTTTAAAAATGCATTAAACATACAAGTATTGCTTTTTTAGGGAAACACTATACTTTTAGGGTTAAGTCAACAAGCATTTATTGTGTCTTCTTTGAGCTGGACATTACCCTACCTGCTGGAGAGACAAAGAAAATTAAAAAAAAAGCAAAATAACCCTTCTTCCCCACTGCTGCCCCTCCCAAATCCCTGTTCTCAAGGATCTCATAGTCTAACCTAATGGGAGAGTTAGCATACAAATAAGTATCTACAAACAGATAATCGGTAGAGGGAAGTCATCAGTATTAAAAAAATGGTATTTTAATTGAAATTTGAAGGAAGCCAGAAGATGAAAATGAGGATGCAAAGAATGCTTGGCATAAGGGATAAGTAATAAAATGCCTGGAGTTGGGAGCTGGAGAATCTTATGTGAGGAAAAACAAGAAGGCCAATGTCACTAGATCATAGAATATATGGAAGGGGAATAAGGGATAAGAAAAGAGGTAAGGTTATGAAAGGCTTTAAATGCCAGAGAATTTTCTATTTTATTTTAGAGGCAATAGGGAACCACTGGAGTTTATTGACTAGGTGAATGACATGTTCAGACCGATACTTTAGGTATGATTATAGTCCTGAAACTGAAAGTGGCCTTGAGAGGTCATCTATGTACATCTCATGGAGCTCTGTTAAGGGAAATTTATAATGAACCCTTTAGATTATTTCTAGTGACCAGATCTCACAGAGTCCAAGGTAGGTTCATATTAGACCAAATTCCATACTCTATCAGATTTCTTATAGCAGAGTTGCAATGTATAAGGTTTGCATTATTACAAAGTATGGTTTCTAAGTTTAATGTCTTCTTTTCTCAAGTTTCACGGAAATAAGCCTGGTAAGTTCAGGGCACATACTAACACATTCTTTTGACTGGGTAACAGATTTCCTGAGCATTTCTACATGGCAGTTGCAGTGAAATTCTTAAGAATCTGTCTTCTTACTCCACCAACAGATAAATGGCTTTTGTTTCTTGCCTATTCTTTCTAGATAATATTTTTTTTCCCACATACATTACTAAAGTAGCTCTAAAGCATTTTAATTTCACAGAAACTAGAAGATATAAAAGTAGATTTTCATTCTGATTTTCTTCTCAATGAACTTTATCAAAATGGCCCCAAACCCCGGGAAATTAATGTAGGCAAG